GGTGCAGCATTCTAGAACCAAGCATATCGATATAAGGCACCATTTCATTCGTGAGCTAGTGGAGGAGAAACAGGTAGTGATCGAACACATTGTCACTGATTTGCAACTGGCCGATTTATTCACAAAACCTCTGGATTTTAATTGTTTTGTCACCTTAAGAAACTCGATCGGGGTTTGTGGTATGTGATTGTGTGTGAAGTGTGCAGGACTGATACAGAAACTGACTCAAGGGGACATTCGAGGTTTGGAATCGGTCTGGAGTTCTGATGCGAGTGGAAAAGAGCTGCCTCAACTTCCGTCGCACCTAGACACCAGTACAGGTTTCATGTAGTAGAAGGGAAGCTGAGCTAGTTTCGGAGAAGTCAAGTGATGAAACTAGCTCATTGCACTTGAACCAAAGGAAAAAAAAAAAAAGGGAGAGGGAAGAAATAAATAAAAAAAAAAACAAAAAAAAGGGAGGCTCCTTACAAACAAAAAAAGGAATCCATTTGCCTCTTCAAAAGTACACTCCTCCTTGGTTCTAAAAGCTTCTCTCTCTCGTGGATAAAGGTTGAAAACTGGTGAAAGGGGTCGATAAAAGCAGTTGAGTGTGAAAGCTAGCCCGTGTTTCGGGATGGCCAGACACTATGAATCAGAACAAGCTAAAAGTGTCTCGTGAGTCAGAGGCTGTGTTTCGTTCCAGTGCACTTCAAAGAACCTGGTAAAAATTGTGCAAAGTTTTTTTTAAAAGGAGGCCCGGTGCATAGGTGATAGTTCAAGTATCACTATTTGTTCTTCATCATTGGTTTATGTGTGAATGTGCCCGTGAATATTGATGGTCTAATGCATGCATTCTTGATTCAGTGTGTGTCCCAGTATTGTTGTCATGTGTGAAACAGGATAGTGGGCCAGGATTCTCGAAGTCCTAATTGTGTGAGGAAACATTTGCGAAATGGGCTTGCTGTAAAGGAAAAAGCCCATTGAAACCACTGGCAGTTGAAAAGACGTGTGAACATGGAAAGTGGGGAAGTTAAGTACAAGGAGTGGGCATCCGAGAAATCCGCCCCACTCTCTGCTGTAAACCCTAAATCCTCGTCATTCAAAAAGACGACTCACTGAGAAAGACATCCATGGTGAGAGGAACTCGCAGAGGGCTAATTGGTAACCGATCCAAGGCTAAGATGACGCATGCAAATGGTGATGCTCAGAGGCCTCATCTCATCGATGAGCACAGCGGTGATGACTCAAAATCCACTGAAGCAGTTCCTGACCAGACTCTTGTCGCAGGTACTGATACGGCGGATAGTGCTGGTTCTTTTGCCACAGCAGATGATGGTGATGCTCAGAGTGGCTCGTCGGCGAATTCTTCAAAGCAGGCAGGTGGCGGAGGAAATAAGGATGTTTCGGAGGCTACCCAGAAGATTGACAGTGACGAAGGCGAAGCTGATGGTGCTGAGAGCAAATATTCGCCTGAAGTAACTCACTTCGTCCCACAGGACACGCCGAATCCAACAGATGCTCTGATTCTGGTCGGAACGGCTCAAGACGAGGGAACAGCCTCTGCTGCTGAGGCATCCCCTACCTCGATCTCCGTAAGCGCGCAAGCGGCTAAAGTAGAACGCAAAAGAAAGACACTGCGCGCTTTGGGACTTCCAGCTCCATCCAAGAAACCCAGACGAGATTCATCTCCTGCTCCAGAAGCAGAACCGGAACAGGCTACAGAATCCGTACCACCACAACAGACCAAAAAGACTCGGTCTCGGAAAGAACAGGCATCTCCTGATCAAGCGAGGTATGTTCATTTTGCTACACGGCAACTTTGGTGTGAAAGGACTGTTGATGTAGGCGAAGCTGATGAATGGGGGTACATTAAGATCATCAGAGACAGCAGGTTGGAATCGACGGTTGTGGGACTCACTCCGTACGTCCCACAAGTGATTCAGGAATTCTATGCTGGACTTCCTGGTGAGCTAGTTTCTGATCTCGATCAGGAGATTCGTGTTAAGCTGAGGGGTTTTGAGTACAGCTTTTCTGCTGATTGGATCAATCGGGTTCTCAATCTGACTCCACTTAGTGAAGCAGAGGTTCACGAAGAATCAGTTGCTGACGCAGTCTCCCTGTCTGAAGTTGCCAAGCACTTGTCGAAGGGAGGAAGTGGTTGGAGTGGGTTGAGCACGAGGAATCTTCCACCGGTCTTTGCAGCGTTGATTGTCATTGCAGCGTACAACTGGATTCCCTCAACCAACAAGCATCACATTTCTGAGGAGCGAGCTCGGTTGTTGTACAAGCTGAGTCATGGTGTGAGGGTGGACTTTGGAAGGCTGGCTTTCAGACAGATTCTCCTAATGAGCAAGATCATCAAGAAGGACACTCGGTGGTTGCTGTTTCCGTGTCTGATACAGAAGATTCTGAACCTTCAGCATGAACCTCAGATCGGTCAGGGAGAGACTCACATTGTGCCTGCTCGATACAAGAAGGACTCCCGCAGTGGTGAGAAATTTGTTAAGAAAGAAGCTGCCGCTGCTAAGAAAGATAAAAGAAAAGGGAAGCAAAAGGCTGGTGCGTCGAAATCTCCAACTCCGTCACCCAAGTCGCCTCAGCAACAACCTGCATCATCACCAGGTGTACCACTTCGGTCTTTTCGTGGGCCACCTCCTGATGCATCCTTCCAGCCATCCGTTTCTGCACCAGGTCGAACTCAGAGTGCTCCTCTCGGAGTAATTCAGGTTCCGTTGGCACCAGCCAGTGCGAATGAAGTCACCTTGGCCCTGCGGGATGTGAGTCGTGTGCTGAACCATCTTCACGGGATAGTCAACATGGTGATTGACTCGTTTGCAAGTAAGTTTTCTGACTCTTTCTTGTATCCTCGTTTGGATATTAATGGTTGTTTTTACCTTCGGTGCTCACAAGCAGGGGGAGAAAACAGGTGGGAAGAAATGCCAAGAGATGAGGCAGGAGATGATGCGGGTGCTTAGTTTGTGGGGGAGCTTGTGTAATAGTCTATGTTCTTGTTTAAGAAGTAGGCTAAGTGTGTGGGGGAGCATGTGTGTTTTGCTCTAAAGACTTCTGTTAGTTTGTTTGTTTAAAGACTTTGTGACTGATGTTTTTTTTTATGGAATGCGTTCTGGTCTTGTCTTGGTACTTGGTTTGTTTGTGGTTGTTTGCGTGGTATGTTTTGAAACAGGTGCTTGTGAGGCACACGAAGCTAAAAAGGGGGAGATTTAAGATGTAGCTGTGTTTGATGCAGTTGCTGTACCAGATGGAGTGAAGAATGAACTGCCACAAACATGGAGTACGTGACAAGTGAAGTTCTTGAAACGAGAAGTCAGATGAGCAGCTGAGCTGGACTAGAAGAAATGGAAGTCTTGAAGAAAAAGCAAAGCTGGATGGGAATAATGGAGCGGATCAGGAAGAATGAAAGATTTCCTTAAACAAGCAAAAGTTTAAGGAAATAGGAAATATACATCAAGCGACAAAATGGAAGCTGTGTTGTAGGGTTTTTGGCACGTAGAGCCGCGGAGTCTACTAAAAATAAGTAGACGTGTTGTAGCCTTGTAGAAGCTTAACACAACTACTAGAGAGCACTTAGCATAAGGGTGAGAGATTCAAAAGAGAGAATCTGCATCAAGGGTTAAGGGTTTTTCTAGGGGTGTTCTGAGATCAAGTATCGATTGAAGAACAGAGAGAGCTAGGGAGACAGATCAAGGTGTGTCTTGAGTCTGTACCAAATCGTGTTACATCTTGTAAGGTGTGTTAACAGATTTACTAGCAATAAAGTTAAAGTTGAAAGAAAAATCCTGTGTTAAGTTGTGTTGTTGTTCCTGATTGGTGGCTCTTGCGTTTACAACATTGAGATAAGAACTTCAAGGACTATGACAAGAAGGTGATTCCTTTGATTCACATTAGCATTAGCGATATGACAACATTTACTTTGTGTGGAACTTGCATTTGCCTTTGACCACAAGAGAAGCAAAAAGTAACTAGAGCAATGACTTCAGCCTTGTTGGCATCTGGTAAATGAATGGTCAAACATCCAATGCGTGGTGAGAAAATGACCACTAGAATAGAACTAGTATACATCAAATTATCACAAAAACTTATCAAATTATAAAATTAAAAATATTTAATAATTATTATATCTTCATCTTAAAAAAATGATTTTAAATTTTAAATTTTATTTATTACAATAAATAATTTCGAATTAATTTAGGTCAAAAAGTCTTTTTACATATATAACAAGTGCAATTTACACATATTGGATTATTTTCCCAATTATCTATTTTTCTCTAAACATATTATTTTCACTTTAATACAAAAAGATCTGACACAAAAATCTGCGCATACCGCAGCAAAACACCTACTGTATATTATATATTACCAGTAAACTAAACCCTAATAAAAAAGGAATATAGTATGGAAAAAATAATATATACAAATTTCTATATAGCTTAATAAACACTTACGTAATCACAAAACTTTTAGGAAAAATAGAAATAAAGTCTAGTTTTCAACTTACGTTAATAGAAGGGTTTCAGCTTTCAGTTTCCTGAGCAATTCCTTTGAGATTTAGAAGCCGGAACTTAGTATTTCACAATTTCTGTTAGAATCTCACATCGAGAAATTAAAGGGACTAACACTAATATAAAAGGGACTTAGGCCTTTTCACTTATCGCTAATTGGTTTTAAGTTGGAAGTCTAGGAAACTTATCATGATATCAGAGCCTCGTTTGTTGACCCAATAAGGGTGGCCCAAAAAAAGGGTTTATTATCGGTCCTAAAGTGGGATTCGGTTCGAGATGGGCTGATAAGAGCATCATCTCGAGGGGGCGTGTTAGAATCCTACATCGAGAAATTAAAGAGACTAACACTAATATAAAATGGACTTGGGCCTCTCCACTTATCGCCAATTGGTTTTAAGTTGGAAGCCCAGGAAACTTAACAATTTCTCCAGTGTTCTAGTGAATCTCGGAGTTGAATCTGAGAGGTCTTTTAGTGGAAAGGGGTTTAATTAGGGCTTCGATATGGATAGGATCAGTAATCTATCAGATGATTTGCTCTTGAAGATTGTTTCGTCACTTCCTACCAAAGATGTTGTCTCCACGATGATTTTGTTGAAACGATGGAGGTTTCTTTGGACGATGGTTTCAAAACTTTATTTTTGTGATAGTTTCGTACTCGATCATTCAACCTACATAAGGTTTCGAAACTATGTGGACAGATCAATGTTATTGCGTAGAGGTCCGGTTTTAGAAACTCTGAAGTTCGACGTTGGTCCTTGTTGCAACACTATAGATATGTCAAGATGGATCCTAACTGGAATAGTTCAGGATGTGCGTGAACTTGAAATTATTCACTTTGAAGAAGAATATTTCGAGGAACATAGACCAAGACCAATCAGATTACAAAAGACTCTTTATACTTATGAGAAGCTCGAGGTCTTGAAACTCAGTTACTCGATTCTTCTAGATGTCCCTGTCGATGTTTGTTTTCCGTCCTTGAAAACATTACACCTTATATGTGTAGAGTACAAAACCAGAGACAGCCCGATGTGTAGGCTTTTATCGGGCTGTCCTGTTCTTGAGGATTTGGTGTTGGACATAACTGAAAACAACATTAATGCTTTGCAATCTTTCTACCTTACAAAGATTATCTATACTTGATACATATAGACAACCAAACTACAACTGTCAAGATCATATGACTATGATTAATGTTCCGTCTTTGAAGTACTTGAGCTTTGTAGATTACTATGGTGACTTGTGTTTGAGTGAGAATATGCCTAAGGTGGTTGAGGCAAATGTTAAAGTTGAATTTGTTTACAAAAATCCCGAGAAGCTACTGTGGTCTCTTCCATCAGTCAAGCGCCTTTACTTATGTTTATCCGCTTCCATGGTAACTTAAAAAACAATCCGTTGCGTGTTTCTTGTGATTTATAACATTTTGTACTATTTTGCTTATGTAAGAGTTTTATGCGGAAGCGTTTAAACCGAAGACATACCTTTGCCCGGTTTAGCGATGAATATGATTCGGTATGATCTGAAAACGGACACAGAGATCGGGAAAGAGATCACAGATGGAAATCAACCACTTATTACCATTCAAATGCCCTTCCAATTGATCTCTCCAAGCTTTCTCTCTAAAACTTTTCCTCTCTCCTCTGTAACTTCTTTGTTTACCAACAGTCACAAACTATTGTAAACAGACACCTTCTGGTGTCTCTTCTCTGCAATGTCTCATATATATAAAATGAAGAGACACAATCTGAAGAGTCACAACTCTTCATTTAGTTATAAGAACCAATTTCTCATAACTGTTGGTTTAATCAAACCGATATGGTATGCTGCCAAATCATGGGCGCAAACCGACCATAAACCAATAGCTTATGTTTTCTAGACATTTTTCTATTTATGCAGCTGCAACACCACATTGGATTTTATCATCTTGTTCATTTGGAGCTATATCCAAGTCTCCAAGAGTGGTGGAATCTACTTACTTGGATGCTTGAAAGTTCTCCTAAACTACAAGTTCTCAAGAACTGCGAGGTAATTAGCCTGATGGCTTCAATTTCTTTATCTGATTGTTTCATTGTTCTTAAGTTGTAGTTTTTATAAGGTCTAACACACAATAACGTGTATTTTGTTAGTGTAACGAACGCCCTTGTACAACAATGCCCATTAAAGGTCATTGGACAAGACCAAGTTCAGTTCCTGAATGTTTGATGTTCCATCTACATACTTTCAAATGGAAAGATTAACAGAAGAGAAGAGGCGGCGAAGAGAAGAAAATTGTGGCGTACATCCTAAAGAATGCAAGACAATTGAAGATTGCGGGTATATCTGTGTTTAAATACGTTTCGAAGGCAAAACGATCTGAGAAACGCAATGAGTTGGTTTCTCTGCCTAGAGCTTCAAGCTCATATCAGCTTCTGCTGGATTGAGAATAAAATTCTAGTAATATACATGTTCCAAGAAAAAAAAAAATCTTGAAGCATTCTCTCTCAAAATTAGATGTGTACAAAGTTCTCTAATATGATGTAAACCACAACGCAGTTTACTGATTATCTACATATTAATAAATATCTATAGAATTTTTTTTTTGTGTTAAAGGTTTTGTGGAAAGAAAATAATATCTATAGAATTTTATTAAAGAATTGGCCATAAATTCATGTAAAATTTTACTACCTTCTAATTTTTTTTTTTTTCTTATTCAGAATTTATGTAAAAATTGCATATGTACATAGACCATAGCAATATCCATCTATTTAAATTTTAGTATTTGTAATTTGTTTTGTTTTTCACTAATATTTGATTTTGATATTAGCTTTGTTTTTTTAGAGGTATAGGGTTATTCAAAATTTTTGAATCGAATAATCCGAATAACGGATTAAATAAAACGGGTATTTGCTTAGTCCTAAATTTTGAAATTTGGGATAGCCGTTGTTAGCACTTGTGCTCTCTCACGTGCCATTTACCAAACAAAGAAACATACTTTGATTGGGCCGTGATTTGGGCTATATACGCTGAGCCCAATTTTCCTTCTTCTTTGCTCATTTCGATCACGGAGTGACGGAGTTTCATCGTCTCCTTTCAAGAAACTGAAGCAATCTCATGGAAAAAGTATCGATCTTTCTGATTCTTCTTCACGTTTAAGGTTTTGGAGTTTCTTCTTTTCTCCTCGTTCCTGCGAGTGTACGCCCTTTTCGCTTGATTCGACGACTATTCGGTTGTTCCTTTCCTGAGAGATTCCTTTGAGATTTAGGAAGCCGGGACTTGGGATTTCAGAACTGTTCTTGTTGATTTCGGAGTAACTTCAAACATTTTTGGTTGAATCTGAGAGAGAGAATCCTTTGAGTTGTTTAATTACGGGTTCTATATGGATCGGATCAATAATCTGCCGGATGATTTGCTGTTGAAGATTGTTTCATCACTTCCTACGAAAAACATAGCCGCGACAATGCTTTTGTCGAAACGATGGATGATTGTTTGGAAGATGCTTCCAAGACTTGATTTTGATGATGGTCATGAACTCGAGCTTTCCAAATACGAAAGATTTATCAAGTTTGTGGACAGATCATTGGTACTGAACAGAGCTCCGGTTCTTGAAGCTTTGAAGTTCGTCCTTGGTCCCTGTTCCAGTCCTAAAGATTTGGCTACATGGATCAGGATTGGAATGGCTCGCCATGTGCGTGAGCTTGAAATTCGCCGTTGTGAAGGATATTCCCAGGAACATAAGTATATTCCCAAGATGCCAAAGAGTCTTTATACTTACGAGAAGCTCGAGGTCTTGAAACTCAGTGGCTGTGTTATTCTGAATGTCCCTGTCGATGTTTGTTTCCCGTCCTTGAAAACATTACACCTTATACGTGTAGAGCACGAAACCAATGAGTCTCTCCTTAGGCTTTTATCGGGCTGTCTCGTTCTTGAGGATTTGGTGTTGGACAAAACTTATGGTTATGGTTTCCCATCTGTAGTCGTTCAAAGGCATACCTTGCAGAGATTATCTATACTTGATACATACCAAGAAGCATACGTAGGCCAAGGTTTCCACGTGATTTTGATCTGTGTCTCATCTTTGAAGTACTTGAACTTTGTAGATTACTTTGGTGACTTGCATATGTCTGGGGATATGCCTGAGGTGGTTGAGGCACATGTTAGATTTGTTCACAAAAATCCTGAGATGTTGCTAAAATCTATTCCATCAGTCAAGCATCTCTGCTTATGTTTAACAGCTTCCATGGTAATTAAATGCGTAACAATCCGTGTTTGTGTTTTTCTTATGATTGATTACATCTCTACTGTTGTGCTTATATGTTTTCTTGAACATTCTCTGTGCAGCTTCAGCACCGCATTGTATTTCATCATCTTGTTCATTTGGAGCTCTGTCCACTTCGCCAAGATTGGTGGGATTTACTTACTTGGATGCTCGAAAGTTCTCCTAAACTACAAGTTCTTGAGATCTCCGAGGTTTACTTCTAAGAAACTATATATGATGGTTTCAGTTTATTTTTTTGATTTTCGTTTGTCGTCTTAAGTACTAGTTTCAAGCTCTAACTCACAATAACTCTTATTCTGTTAGTGCGACCAAAGCCTTTGTTTGAAAGAGCCGATTATTGGAGATCATTGGGCAGGACCAAGTTCAGTTCCTGAATGTTTGATGTCCCATCTACATACTTTCAAGTGGAATGATTACAGAAGAAGGAGCAACGAAAAGGAAATAGTGGCGTACGTCCTTAAGAACGCAACACAGTTGCAGACTGTGAGTATCTCTGTGTATAAATACGATTCAGAGGAAGAACGATTTCAGAAACTCAATGAGTTGGTTTCTCTGCCTATAGCTTCAAGCTCAAGTCGGCTTCTGCTTGATTGAGAAAAGATTGTAGTAGTATCAGTCTGTTACAAGAAACCTAGAAGCATTCAGTGGGTGAAAGTTAATTGTGTTCGAAACTATTATAGCTTCTTATGTTCTTGCTCTTACATATTTTCCAGAAGAAGAATAGAGGAAGCAGACTTGTGTACATATGCTCAGGATTTGGTATATATTTCATGTTGATTTTTTTCTCTTCCAAATCATCACTGCTTTTTAGTCTATGACATAAATAATTTTTTGTGTGTGTTGGTCAATTATTTCTTACGTTATCTTACTAATTGTCTCTTCGTTTTATACATTCTCTATGACTACTTAAGGAGTGTATGTTATATTGGCGGTCAACGTCATCGTTCATATAAGATGAGGAAACATCTATTGACAGCTACTTAAGGAGTGTATGTTATATTGGCGGTCAACGTCATCGTTCTTACAAGCACGATTATATTACATATAGCGTCAGCCTATGTCCAATGAAAATGTGATCCGAGGCAAGAAAAAAATGTAGCCCTTTATAAATACCGATTTCCAATCCATATGGCAGTAGAGAAAGGTCGTTTGGATGTTGTAAAAGAGATTATAAAACGTTGTCCAAATTCAAAAGAGCTGCTCAACAACAAGGTCAGAACATTATTCACATTGCAGCAAAAGGTGGTTAAGCTAGATCTTTGCTTCTAAAATATTTCAGGAGTCTTGGTAGGAGGATGAACACACCTCTGCATATAGGCACCATAAATTGGCGTCCTCAGAACTGTTATGGACCTTACTAAGTTTTCTTCAAACGCCACCAAAATCCAATATATAAAGAACAAAGATGGCTTGAGACCACTTGAGATTGCAGAGTTAAAGCTACAGCCTGACTATGTCTTTAAGGAGGTAGAGATAAATCTTGATCTTCTCTCTCTATCTATATATACAACTATTTTTTTTCTAACATCAAACCATATCTCACTTATGGCCTTTTTGTTCATCACTTTGTTTTGTCTTCAGGGACTGACTTTGATGGACTTTAATTCTATTGGTCTACATCAACATTTAAAAATAAGGAAAGTTTACAAATCCGAATACTATTGTTGAATAAGGAAATTAAGAAAATTTACAAATTCTAATATTATTGCTAAATAAAGAAATTATATATAATTTTTTTATTGGTTCACCTCAACATTGAAGATTAAAAAGTTTCCAAATTCTATTATTGCTTTTAAAAGATTATTAAAGATAAAGAAATTATATATAATTTATATTAATAGTAAAAAACTAAAATTAATAATATTAAAATAGGAATTTTTTAAATTTAGATATAACAATTTTGAAATTTTTTTCATGTGTGTGCAACCATATCAAAAAAAAAAAAAAGTTAAGTTTCACTAAAAAATGAGTCATTATAGCATAAAATAACCAACTTGACTAAACTATATGTTTAACTATTAGCTAAATTACAAAAAAAAATATAATGAAAAGAGATATAAAGAAAGCCACTACAAGACGCTTTAATATTGAAAAATAGACCGTAAAATCTCCAAAGCTTGGCCACCAAATTTGAGAAGAATGATAAATTCCAAGCAATCCGAGAAACATGTCAAGTGATTGATACTCGACACTTTTGAAAAACGAAGCACATAAAATAGAGAAAGAAGTTCCATCATTAAGACGAAGGAGATTGAGTATCCAAGAAATATTTTTGAAATAACATGGCACCTGATGGGGTTTTAACAACCTAACTTTAACCACAAAGGTAACAATTAGGTGATCAAGCAGCATCCGAATACATTCGGTAAGCCTAAAAACAAGGAGGCTTCTAAATCCTATTACTAAGAAAAGTTAAATCTATATGCCTCTAAGAATATCCACATAGGATTTAAAATTTTAATTCTATTGGTTCACATCAATATTTAAAATTAAAATTTTTAAAAAATTATATTGTTAACAAAAATTTAAATTTATAGAAAAATAAAATTTAAAGCTATATGCATCTAATAACATCCACATAAGATTTAAAATATCAATTTTATTAGTCTACATCAATAACTAAAAAAACTTATAAATTATAAAATTACATTTTAATACAAAAAAATATAAGAAAAATTGTTAATTAAAATTCTTAATAACAGTTAAAGCCATTTCAATATTAACATAGGAAATAGGAAAATCTTGAATTTAAATTAGATGTATGCACACATATTTAAGGGCTCTTACATTAGCAATCAAATTTTTGTCACTTACTATAATAAATTTTATGTTTTTTTTTTCCTTTGTGTGCAACCATTTCAATTAAAAAACCAAAAATATAGAGCTATGTTTCACTAAAGAATGAGTTATTACAACGTAAAAGAACAAATTTGACTAAACTATCTGTTTAAATATTAGCTAAATTACAAAGAATATGATGAAAAGAGATATAAACAAAGCCACTACAAGCTGCTTTAATATTGAAAAAAAAAACCATAAAATCTCTAAAGCTTGACCATCGAATTTGAGAAGAATGATAAATTCCAAGCAATCCGAGAAACATGTTAAGTGATTGATACTCGACACTTTTAAAAAATGAAGCACTGAAAATAGAGTAAGAGGTTCAATCACTCATGCGAAGGAAACTGAGGTATCCGAAAAAGAATTTTTGGAATAATATGGCATCTAACGGGGTTTTAACAACCCAATCTGAACCATAAAGGTAACAATTAGCTGACCAAGCAATATCCGAATACATTTGGTAAGTTTCAAAACAAGGAGGAGATACCAAAATCACTTGCCGCAACGGACCTCATGTGGGATCTTCCAGCTTTGATTTCTAAATCTATTACTAATAAAAGTTAAAGTTATATGTTTCTAAAATTGTCCACATAGGATTTAAAAGTTCAATTTTATGGTCCACATCAATATTTAAAATTAAAAAAGTTCCAAATTTTAAAATTATATCGTTAACAAAAATATATTTATATAAAAAATTTTAAAATTAATATTGTAAACATTTTTTCCTATTATTAATAACAGTTAAAGTTATATTATTTTCAAGGCATCCACATCAGCATTTAAAAAATCAATTTTTTCGTATATATCAAAATTTTAAATTAAAAAAAATTTCTAGTTTTAATATTATTGTTAAGAAAATAAATTAAAAAATAAAGAAATTTCTATTAACAAAAAACGACATGATATTAAAATCTTCAATATCACTGTTTAAGTTATAAATTAAATTTATTATCTATAATAAAAATATATCTTACTTATACAAGATTAAGTTACTTGATTTTAAAGATTTTCACGTAAAATTTTAAATAACTAATAACTGTGATTTATATTCATCTAAATTTTTGATACATATGTAAAACATATTTTCATATAACCTCATGTAATATATTATGCGAAAATAATTAAAAACATTATATTTTGTATATTCGATTTGGAATTGCAAAAGATTAACAGAAATTCTTAGTTTTTAGTTTTTCAATTTGTTATTAATTTTTCTATATTTGTATGTATTAAATTGTACCGGTTTGGCCTATTTAATTATAATTATAAAAAGTGAGAATGAATATAATAAAACTGAATATAATCATACAAAAATTATTAAAATATATAAATAAGATTGAAAAAAACATAAATAACAAGAATAAAAATGAATATGATGAAAAAAAAATTCATTCTTATTAGAAGAGATGATGTATAGTCATTGAGAATTATTTAAAATTTAACACAACCAATGACAAAATATATTTAATTCACATATTTTGTGTGATTTTATTCATATCATATTCAACTATATTTTTGGTTTCAAAACTAAAGCTGTTATTAATCTCAAAGTAAACATTTTATTTATTAGTTGTTTTTTAAATTAATAAATCAAAATAAAATTTTGTATTGGTTAAACAAGAGCAGAAAAAATTAAATTTTAATTTTATTTTTTTAAATAACACATATATAATTGAAATAAAAGTGAAAATAATGAAAAAGCAATTTTTTTTTCTTGATTTAAAGAAGTGAATGTATAATATTTTATCATCATGTCAATACTTTGTTTAAAAAGTAGCATTTGATTAATTTGTAAACTTTTAGGTTGTTTGAGTATATTAACTTATAAATGTTTGATAAAATAACACATTTTCGAAATACGACATATATAGATTCAAATCAAAACCGTTAAAATATCACAATTTACATTAAAATTATTATATTAACATCGTAATATTTTTAATATATTATCAAAAATATATAAAATTTATATCATAATAGATATAATTGATTGTATATAATTTTTATCAATAAAATATCCACGCATAGCGTGGACGCAAAATCTAGTTTAACTAAAAATTGGCCATAAATTCATGTAAAATTTTACTACCTTCTAATTTTTTTTTCTTATTCAGAATTTATGTAAAAATTGCATATGTACAAAGACCATAGCAATATCCATCTATTTAAATTTTAGTATTTGTAATTTGTTTTATTTTTCACTAATATTTGATTTTGATATTAGGTTTGTTTTTTTTAGAGGTATTGGGTTATTCAATTTTTTTGAATCGAATAATCCGAATAACGGATTAAATTAAACGGGTATTTTTAGATATTATATATGATATAGGTGAGGATATATATATATATATATGTGTTTGTATATATATTATTATATTATATTATTTTGGATGGTGGGGTAAGAAGGAGATGAAGGCGAAGGAGTAGAGAGAAGAAGGGGAAATTGCTCTTATTTCACTCGTGTGTCTTCTCATTATACATGGGGGTAGGTCTTATTTATACACATCAAGAAGTAATAATTTAATCACCTAAGTCGGTAAAAGTAAAGGCGGTGAAATGTGATGGGATAATTATCCCTTTTAATTGCTTAGTCCTAAATTTTGAAATTTGGGATAACCGTTGTTAGCACTTGTGCTCTCTCACGTGGCATTTACCAAACAAATACTGTAAACATACTTTGATTGGGCCATAATTTGGGCTATGTACGCTGAGCTCAATTTTTCTTCTTCTTTGCTCATTTCGATCACGGAGTGACGGAGTTTCATCGTCTCCTTTCAAGAAACTGAAGCAATCTCATGGAAAAAGTATCGGTCTTTCTGATTCTTCTTCATGTTTAAGGTTTTGGGTTTTCTTCTTTTCTCCTTGTTCCTGTGAGTGTACGCCCTTTTTGCTTGATTCGACGACTATCTGGTTGTTTCTTTCCTGAGAGATTCCTTTGAGATTTAGGAAGCCGGGACTTGGGATTTCAGAACTGTTCTTGTTGATTTGGAGTAACGTCAAACATTTTTAGTTGAATCTGAGAGAGAGAATCCTTTGAGCTGTTTAATTACGGGTTCTATATGGATCGGATCAATAATCCTTTGAGCTTGAAATTCGCCGTTGTGAAGGATATTCCCAGGAACATAAGGATATTCCCAAGATGCCAAAGAGTCTTTATACTTACGAGAAGCTCGAGGTCTTGAAACTCAGTGGCTGTGTTATTCTGAATGTCCCTGTCGATGTTTCTTTCCCGTCCTTGAAAACATTACACCTTATACGTGTAGAGCACGAAACCAAAGAGTCTCTCCTTAGGCTTATATCGGGCTGTCTCGTTCTTGAGGATTTGGTGTTGGACAAAACTTATGGTTATGGTTTCCTACCTGTAGTCGTTGAAAGGAGTACCTTGCAGAGATTATCTATACTTGATACACGCCAAGAAGCAAACAAAGTCCAAGATGGTATCCACATGATTTTGATCTGTGTCTCATCTTTGAAGTACTTGAACTTTGTAGATTACTTTGGTGACTTGCGTATATATGGGAATATGCCTAAGGTGGTTGAGGCACATGTTAGACTTGTTCACAAAAATCCTGAGAAGTTGCTAAAATCTATTCCATCGGTCAAGCATCTCTGCTTATGTTTAACAGCTTCCATGGTAATTAAAAGGGTAACAATCCGTGTTTGTGTTTTTCTTATGATTGATTACATCTCTACTGTTGTGCTTATATGTTTCCTTGAACATTCTCTGTCAGCTTCAGCACCGCATTGTATTTCATCATCTTGTTCATTTGGAGCTCTGTCCACTTCGCCAAGATTGGTGGGATTTACTTACTTGGATGCTCGAAAGTTCCCCTAAACTACAAGTTCTTGAGATCTCCGAGGTTTACTTCTAAGAAACTATATATGATGGTTTCAGTTTATTTTTTTGATTTTCGTTTGTCGTCTTAAGTACTAGTTTCAAGCTCTAACTCACAATAACTCTTATTCTGTTAGTGCGACCAAAGCCTTTGTTTGAAAGAGCCGATTATTGGAGATCATTGGGCAGGACCAAGTTCAGTTCCTGAATGTTTGATGTCCCATCTACATACTTTCAAGTGGAATGATTACAGAAGAAGGAGCAACGAAAAGGAAATAGTGGCGTACGTCCTTAAGAACGCAACACAGTTGCAGACTGTGAGTATCTCTGTGTATAAATACGATTCAGAGGAAGAACGATTTCAGAAACTCAATGAGTTGGTTTCTCTGCCTAGAGCTTCAAGCTCAAGTCGGCTTCTGCTTGATTGAGAAAAGATTGTAGTAGTATCAGTATGTTACAAGAAACCTAGAAGCATTCAGTGGGTGAAAGTTAATTGTGTTCGAAACTATTATAGCTTCTTATGTTCTTGCTCTTACATATTTTCCAGAAGAAGAATAGAGGAAGCAGACTTGTGTACATGTGCTCAGGATTTGGTATATATTTCATGCTGATTTTTTTCTCTTCCAAATCATCACTGCTTTTTAGTCTATGACATAAATAATTTTTTGTGTGTTTGTCAATTATTTCTTACGTTATCTTACTAATTGTCTCTTCGTTTTATACATTCTCTAGTGTATGTTATATTGGCGGTCAACGTCATCGTTCTTACAAGCACGATTGTTTAGTGAGCATATGATATGAGCGTAATGATGGAGTCACAGCAACAGGCTCGAGGTAGAGACAAAAAAAATGATGGAGCTATCAATAGATGTTTCCTCATCTTATATAAATTTTAAAAGCTATAGTGAAATATTCAAAAAATATATATATACAATTCAGATGTCTAGAACCATTTTGCGTTTTTTTTTTCTTTTTTTTTATATAGAGTTCATGCTCAGCATAAAACAAAAAAAAAACACATTTTTTTGGAACTTGCATATAAATTCGTAATGTGAGATACAACTTAAAAAAACACATTTTTTGGGAATACATTTTCTAGAATTAAATATTTTTAGTTGTATCTCACATTACGAAATTTTTTTTTTACTAAATTGTAAATATTCATTAAAATGAAATGTTAGGGGTTACAAATTGAGTTAACAATCGATCGACCTAAAATTCTTGGTCCCATGGCAAAATAGAATAAAAAACATGGAAGCAAATTCAATCGGTACTTTTCCGACACCGAAGCTCAAGAGCAACAGGAATCAAGTAGCGATAAGGAGCCTGAAAATCCGAAGAAAAGATGAGACCAAGATAAGATCAGATATAAAATCACTGGAGAAAATATCAGAAAACGCCTATCTCGCAAATCGGAAGCTCTTTCATCCGGTAGCCTGAGAAAAATCTTTCCTCTAAGTAGTCGGTGGATGCCCGAACAGAGACAGCCCTTAATCTACGGTTCAACGCTCAACTAACGAACAAAGATCCGGTATAAAGACAAAACTACACTACTATTAGAACCAGATGCGCTCGCTCACTCTGCCAAGATACTTCCCCGATGTCGGCAGCACAGAACCGAACAACCTCTAAACTCATCAGCCTTACTAGCTCCTCCGAAAGTAAGATAAACAAGACACAAAATATTACTCCAAGTAATCTCAATCAAACAACACCAGGGAAACACTTACACCAAACTGAGAGAAACAGGCAAAGCAAACCCATCAGCGATGAAACAAGGAGCCACCAGAAGCAAAGACTTGAAGAAAACCGAGCCAACACCGCATCGAAACAGAGCTCTGAACAAAGAAACGACGCAGAGAGTCTCACAAGCTTCCACCAAGAGAAGCACGCTCAGATTAACCAGAAAAAGCCACCGCCTTGAGCAAACGCCACCAACGGGATCTAACCAAGAGACAACGACGGAAGATGCCACATCTCCAACACGCCAACGATGGAGAAGAGAATCAGATCTGAAGAACAACACGCTGAGACCCGTCCTCGGATACTTCACACCACGCACAGCCAAGATCTAGTCAATCCACTCCACCATGAAAGACGCACAGCAGCCACACCGAGATCCAGAAGATCCCACACCATGCGCCACCGAAGCTTCCACCAGAGACCTCACCGAGAGAAAGTCGAGATGCCACACTCCTCCCTCGAATCCGCCTCTGCTAAAGGTCACCGGAGCCAAACCGTCGCAATCCACAAGGCACACGAACACAAAGGAGGACAAAGGCCTCCCCGGCGGCGGCGAGGAGCACTGGCCACCGAGGAGACAGATCGAAGAGGATTAGGGTTTGGCGGCGCTGAGTTTGGGAGGAGAGGTTTTGGAGAGAGAAAGTCAGATCAATGGCGCCTGTTGTCAAGCACATTATGAATTTATAAAAGGAGACAAACTTTTCACAAAATGAATGAATTATTATAGGGAAAAAAGCTTAAAAAACCCTCAATTATTTAATATTTGCCAGTTTCCTACCTGGACTTTTTGCGTTGCCAGAAATTTACATGAACTAATTTTTTGGATCAAAAAACTACCTGAAATATTTTATAGTTCCAGTTTTCACCCCACGATTTCACGGCCGTTAACGGTCAAACGGAATTAGTAAACTCCGTTATTTTCCAAAACAAGAAAATACTAAAACAAACCTTCAACTATTTAATCTTTGTCAAAAAAATACCTGAACTTTTAATGGTGCCAAAAACCCACATAAGTTAATTTTTCAGTGTCAAAAAAATCTGAAATATTATACGGTTTCAACTTATACCCCACTACTTCACATCCATTAATGGTTCTCCCCAGATTCATTCGCTGATGGTTATTTATTTGATATTGGTTTGTTTCTCATCGTATACAACATTTATTTCGAAAGGCGATTTGAATATAAGTTTCTAACTAATCGACTCTTTCGAAGAATGATTGCAGTGGCTCATAATAGATTAATAAATATAAATTAGTAGGTAATCAACGGAGATAAAGTGTGATAGATATTTTTAATCATCTACGAAGATCATCTTAGTGGAGATTAAATCAGCCCAAAATTAAAATGAAGCACTCATCTACAGAATCTTTAGTCATAAATATATCCTAATTTCAAAAAAATATTTCGTAATTTATTTCAAATTCTATTGGTGATAACTTTGTTTTTAGTTGTTGTAAACTCTTTGATATTTTGGTTTTTTAGTGTCATTTAACTCAAAAAACAAAAACAAAAATTAGCTAATGTGGGTTTTTGGCAACAATAAAAGTTCAGGTATTTTTTTGGCAAAGATTAAATAGTTCAGGAATTTTTCAGCTTTTTTTGTTTTAGAAAGTTTACTAATTCTGTTTGACCGTTAACGGCCGTGAAATCGTGGGGTGAAAACTAGAACTATAAAAGATTTTAATTAGTTTTTTGATCCAAAAAATTAGTTCATGTAAGTTTCTGGCAACGCAAAAAGTTCAGGTAGGAAACTGACAAATATTAAATAGTTGAGGGTTTTTTTAAGCTTTTTTCTCAATTATTATAGTTAAGACCACATCGAATGGAATGCGATTATATTACATATAGCATCAGCCTATGTCCAATGAAAATGTGATCCGAGGCAAGAAAAAAAATGTAGCCCTTTATAAATACCGATTTCCAATCCATATGGCAGTAGAGAAAGGTCGTTTGGATGTTGTAAAAGAGATTATAAAACGTTGTCCAGATTCAAAAGAGCTGCTCAACAACAAGGTCAGAACATTATTCACATTGCAGCAAAAGGTGGTTAAGCTAGATCTTTGCTTCTAAAATATTTCAGGAGTCTTGGTAGGAGGATGAACACACCTCTGCATATAGTCACCATAAATTGGCGTCCTCAGAACTGTTATGGACCTTACTAAGTTTTCTTCAAACGCCACCAAAATCCAATATATAAAGAACAAAGATGGCTTGAGACCACTTGAGATTGCAGAGTTAAAGCTACAGCCTGACTATGTCTTTAAGGAGGTAGAGATAAATCTTGATCTTCTCTTTTTCTAACATCAAACCATATCTCACTTATGGCCTTTTTGTTCATCACTTTGTTTTTGTCTTCAGAGACTGACTTTGATGGTCTTATTATCTGCTTACAAACCAAGAGTTTATGGAGGGATACCCACAAGTGGGATGACTCTAAGAAGCAAATCAGAGCTTCTAGATGTTAACAAGTATAAAGACCGTGTCAACGCACTTCTACTAGTGGCAACTCTCATAGCCACTGTAACGTTTTCTGCAGGTATTGCTGTACCGGGAGGGTTTAACAGCTCTGCTCCAAACTTGGGCATGTCCATTTTGGCCAAGAAGCCCTTCTTCATCTTCTTTTTGCTATCTGACATGATGGCAATGCAAAGTTCTGTTTTAGCAATCATTGCTCTTATTTGGGCTCAGATGGGCGATCAAGAGCTCGTTCATAGAGCCTTTCGGATGGCCTTGCCATCGCTGTCCTTTGCTCTATACTGCATTTCGTTCGCATTCTTCTTTGGCGTGCTTGCTACAACAAGTCACAATCATCTTCTTGTGATTGTCATTAGCATTCTACATTCAGTCTTTTGTTGTATGCTCTCTTATCTTCTTGCTCCTTATGTTGGCCCATATTTTCCTGACTTTCGTCTTTTTCAAAGGTCAGTGGATATATATATTCGGGTTCTATTGCAGTTTGTTGATGAAGACGTTGCTGAAACCCATCAAACCTCTGTTTGATTCAAATGGAAAAGTCGAAAATACATCTTCTTATTCATCTTGTCATCTGGAAGAATTATATTTTTTGTATTCCTTTTTCATTAGCCGCAAAGTTTGATTACAACTCATCTTATATACACCATAAACTTAATCAACCAGCCACGTAACCAAGTGTCCACCACTTAACCTCCTACCATTTCCCAGTTAAGTGTAATACCCCTCCCTCAAGTGGAATTCTCAAGGTAGAAGAAAAAGACTTAAAAATGCATATCTTGACATGAGAAGCTTGAAAGTCTTGGAAAGAAACTCATGAATGTGTATTATAATTTTAAATACACAATATTTTAGTTTAGTATTCACGTTGATAGGAGTAAAATATATTGATTCTTAATAAATAACTCGCATAATTATATTTATACCAATATAATTATATTCTAGATTAAGACTCACATTTTGTAAATCATATTTAACATATTCCAAAACTGACTCAGACTGCCCATAAACCCCTACAAGCAATCTGTCTAAATGAATGTAAGGGTTTTCCAAAAAGAAAATTTGATATTTACACACTAAATTGATAGTCTGAAAGTTATTATGACATATAATTAAATTTTACACAACAATGTAGAACATATGTTAAAATAATTTTTTAAAAAATATATATTTAAGAGAACAGTTTCTATCCCATCCAACTGTTCTCTTAAATATATATTTTTAAAAAAATTATTTTAACCCATATATTCTACATTGTTGTGTAAAATTTAATTATATGTCATAATAATTTTTAATATATATTTAAGAGAACAGTTTCTATTTAATATAATATAATAATTTTTATAGAATTATGATATATATTTTAACAATTTTTTTTACACAATAATTTTTGCATCAAACCTTTTTTTATAAAATTTGTGATATTTTATTTAACACTCTAGATTAGTTTATAGTGTCATGGTTATGGTTGAAAATGTCCTAAGTTATGTTGTAAGTATGTCACCTATAATTGCACAAAAAACACCTATGACCTATAAATAACTAAAATGTTTAAAATCAAAATATTTAAGATATTGTTCTTTTTTTCTTAATGTTCCTTATGAAAGTGGACCAAACACATTAATAATTTTCAATACATAAACAAACATGAGCATTATCACGAATACCAACACCCCCAGAGATTTTTTCAGGGTCATCGGTTTTTTCGAATTTTGACCATCTGTTTTGAAGGTTTCCAAAAGTGATAAATAACATATAATGTTCATGGATATCATGGTATATTTGGAAGTCTCGAAATGAGAAAGTGTACTCAAATACGGATATAGATCCATAGGTTACACTAAAAATAGCGGAAACAAAAGCGATATTATGGGAGGAGGCTCAAAGATCTGAAAAGGATTCAACACCTATAGCTCGTGGCAATTCTCCAAACTTGTCAAAACCTGTAGCCTATGAAGGCTGGTGGTGTTATATTGATGGCTCATGAAAAGATACGGAATCAGTAGCGGGCCTAGGATGGTACTATTTTAAGGAAGGTGTCACAGATAAAATAATGGGAGCACAAAATGTAAGACAAAGTCTTACGCCTCTGCACGCGGAAATGGAAGCCCTTATATGGGCTATGCATTGTATGCTGGAGAATCAAAAGACTGAAGTCGCTTTTGCAACGGACTGTTCGGAGTTGGTGAAAATGGTGTCTACACCCGAAGAATGGGCAGCTTTTGCTCTACACTTGGAGGAGATAACGAAGATGAAAGACAGATTCAGCTTCTTTCTTATATCACATATCCCACACGCAAAGAACTCGAAGGCGGATAACCTAGCAAGGAGTGCTCGGGTCTATCCTCAAGATGTTATTTATGTACACTCAGTACCCACCGGTTTGGTTAACTGAACCGTTTTAGGTATTTAGGCTGATGACAAAAAAAAAACCAAAAAAAAACCAAAAAAGTTATCGACATTTTTTCCTTCAATTACCAATCTCCTCGGCAAAAATCCCGCCACTACCAATGAATTAGGATAATGTGTGTTTAGTATTTCTAAGGAAATCAACTGACATGACGATATCAATATATACATAATCGGATAATGGTTTATTAAGTAATTAAAGTATTTTGTATTTGCGCTTTGGCTTAAATTTTATACCATATCTTTCATCAGTAAAAAATGATGAAAAGAAGGATTCGTAGCAGTAATTTCTTCATCTTCCATGGAAAAGCTAGATGGCTATATTTTTGTCGACTATTTATTAGTCTCATTTGAGCTCCATCTCTCCTCTTTGTTATTTTTTTTTATACCTTTTAATCTTCCATGGAAAAGCTAGATGGCTATATCTTTGTTATTATTGGACTGTATATAGAGATTTTAGATCGATCGGTTTCTTTTTGCCGGTTTATCTTAAATTAATTCATTAGTTGGTTTAGTTTGGTTTACTCCAATCTTAACTGTACATATGGATGTAACGAACACATTGTGAGGGTTAATGATAATTTTCCTAACAAACTCTCTGTTGACTTTATCTTCTTCTCCAAATCTCTCTCGCTCTCATTCAACTAATATGGTATCAGAGCTATCAAAGCTCTAATTCCGCTTCGATTTCATCCTTTTTGAGCTCGGAATCTTCATTTTCAAGCTCGTTTTTCATTTTCACCAACTGATTTTGAGTCAAAATGGTTTCCATGAAGAAAGTTCCGAGGAGATCAAGCAGATCCACCGCTGCAATGAAATCCGTTCCGATTGCTTCGCCGGACATCATCGCTCCGACTTCTCAAGCTTCGCGAACAACTGTTACTTCAGAATCTCTGGATTCGATTCATTCACCATTCTTTATGCACAACGCCGATCATCCAGGTTTACAACTCATCTCTCTATGTCTAGATGGTGTGAATTATGATGATTGGAACACTGCTATGATGATTACTCTAGACGCTAAGAACAAAATTGGATTCGTAGATGGTACACTACCTCGTCCTGCGGAATCTGATATAAATTTTAGGATCTGGTCTAGATGCAATAGCATGGTTAAGTCGTGACTGTTAAATTCAGTTTCATCTCAGATCTATCGTAGTATTATGCGTTTGAATGATGCTGCTGATATATGGCGTGACTTACATAGTCGCTTTCATATGACAAACTTACCTCGCACATTCAATCTCACACAAGAGATTCAGGATCTCCGTCAAGGATCCATGTCTTTATCTGATTACTACACCACTTTCAAAACGGTGGAGCAATCTAGATAGTACTGAAGAACCAGATGAACCTTGTTTATGTGGTAAAGCAGCTCGTCGCCAACTGAAAGTAGAGCAAGCCAAGATCGTGAAATTTCTTGCAGGCTTGAATGAATCTTACTCTATCATTCGCCAACAGATCATCATGAAAAAGGTTCTTCCCAGTTTAGCTGAGGTCTACAACATCCTTGATCAAGATGAGAATCAGAAAATTTTCTCCAATGTTGTTAGTCCTCTTGCTGCTTTCCAAGTCTCAGAAACTGCTCTCTCTTCCGCTGAAGTTTGCTATGTTCAAAGTGGACCAAATAAAGGGCGTCCAATATGTTCATTTTGCAACAAGGTGGGACATATTGCAGATCGATGTTATAAGAAGCATGGGTTTCCTCCTGGTTTTACTCCAAAAAGGAAGCCCCCTGTGGATAAATCTCAGAAGTCATCTCCTCCCATTGCTGCTCAAGTTGCTTTGACTCCTGCATCTGACATTACTTCTCCGAATCTACAAGGATTGATTGGGAATCTGTCAAAGGATCAGATACAGATTTTCATTGCTTTGTTCAGTTCTCAACTCCAGAATCAGTCTATTGGTCAACAAAACAAAGCTAGTTCATCTCAGTCAGGGGATTGTTCTGGTATATCTTTCTCTCCCTCCACATATTGCTTTGTTGGGATATTAACAGTTTTTCAACATACTCTAAGTACTCAATCTTGGGTAATCGATTCGGGTGCCACACATCATGTATCTCATGACAGAAAATCCTCCATCTCTTTGGATACTTCTGTTGTGAGTTACGTGAATATCCCAACTGGATCTACCCTTAAGATAAGTGGAGTAGGAGTGATTCAAATCAACAAGGATATACTTCTCAAGAATGTGCTGTTCATCCCAGAATTCAGATTGAATTTGATCAGTATAAGCTCCTTGACTACAGACCTTGATTCCCGAGTGATTTTTGACACTTCTTGTTGTGAAATACAGGATTCTACCAAGGCGTTGATGATTGGAAAGGATAGACGGATTGGCAACCTCTACGTGTTAGACACACAATCTACATTAGCTTCAGTGAATGCAGTGATAGACGTGGGAGTTTGGCACAAGAGACTTGGACATCCTTCTTTCTCAAGACTGGATATCATTTCTGAAGCTTTAGGGACTTCTAACACAAGAATAAAGGCATTGCATACTGCCATATTTGTCATCTTGCCAAACAAAAGAAACTTTCTTTCCCATCATCAAAAAATATGTGTAATAATAACTTTGAGTTGTTACATATCGATGTATGGGTACCATTTTCAGTGGAAACCGTTGAAGGTTACAGATATTTTTTAACAATAGTTGATGATAACTCCAGAGTAACATGGTTATTTCTTCTCAGAACAAAGAATGAAGTCATTACTGTATTCCCTGCTTTCATTAAACAAGTTGAAAACCGGTACAATGTTAAGGTGAAATCTGTCAGATCCGCTAATGCACCTGAGTTGAACTTTACTTCATATTTTCAAGAAAAAAGAATCACATCTTTTCACTCATGATAGAAACCCCTGAGCAGAATTCAGTGGTGGAGCGTAAACATCAACACCTGCTCAATGTAGCTCGTGCTCTTATGTTCCAATCACAAGTTCCTCTGCAATATTGGAGAGATTGTGTCTTGACAGCAACCTTCCTTATCAACCGGACTCCATCTCAACTCTTAATGAACAAAACTCCATATGAGATTCTGACTGGTAACTTTCCAAACTATTCTCAGTTAAGGACATTTGGTTGTCTTTGCTACGGTACTACATCTCCGAAACAAAGACACAAATTTCAACCTCGATCACGGGCGTGTATATTCTTGGGTTATTCGTCTGGTGTTAAGGGTTATAAGCTCCTTGATTTTGAAAGTAACTCAGTCTTAATCTCACGGAATGTCATTTGACATGAAGACATATTACCGATGGCTAAGGATTCAAATACAACATCACATTTGGATCCTTTCACACCAACAATTCCTTTGTCTTCTGATATCACCACACCTTTTCATAAACACCTAAATTCACCTCTCATATCACCAAATATTCTCACAAATATATCTACCATATCACCAAACTCTTCTTCTCGAATAAAGAAAACTCTTGCACATCTGCAGGATTATCACTGTTATTAATTACAATCTGATCTTGCTCATCCCATATCTTCAGTTCTCTCTTATGATCAGATATCACCATCTCATCAATCTTATATCAATTCCATTACCAAAATCCCAATCCCTCAATCCTTTAAAGAGGCAAAGGATACCAAGGAATGGTTTGATGCGGTTGATACAAAACTTGGAGCAATGGAAAGGACTAACACTTGGGTTGTCGATATATTACCTCCAGGCAAGAAAGCAGTGGGATGCAAGTGGGTATTTACTGTAAAGTTTCTTGCCGATGGGAGCCTAGAACGCTATAAAGCACGCCTAGTTTCCAGAGGCTACATGCAAAAGGAGGGTCTGGATTACACCAAAACATTTTCTCCAGTTGCAAAGTTAGTCACAGTAAAACTGTTGCTTAAAGTTTCTGCTTCTAAGAAATGGTTCCTTAATCAGCTTGACATTTCAAATGCGTTTCTCAACGGTGATCTGGAAGAAGAAATCTTTATGAAGCTTCCTGATGGGTATGCAGAAAGAAAAGGGGCCACATTTCCAAAGAATGCTGTCCTCAGACTTAAAAAATCCATTTACGGTTTAAAACAGGCCTCGAGACAATGTTTCTTAAAGTTCATACAGGCTCTGTTTCAATTGGGTTTCACAAGAGGATATGGTGATCATACTCTCTTTGTCCGTGAATATGGTACTGAATTTGTTGCTGTTTTGGTGTATGTTGATGATATCATTATTGCAAGCACCAAAGAATCACTTGCTGCTCAATTAACTGAGGCTCTGAAGAAAAGTTTCAAACTTAGAGATTTTGGTCCGTTGAAATATTTTTTTGGGATTGGAAATCGCAAGAACATCTGCAGGAATCTCCATATGTCAACGAAAGTAATGCATTGGAATTACTGACATCTACTGGAATGTTAAGGTGCAAACCAGCTTCTATTCCTATGATCCCAAATGTGAAGATGTCCAAGCTTGATGGCGAATTGCTTCCTGATAAGGAACAATATCGTAGTCTAGTGGGTCGCTTGATGTACTTAACTATCACAAGACCTGACATAACTTTTGCTGTCAACAAGCTATGTCAGTTCTCTTCTGCTCCAAGGACATCCCATCTTCAAACCGTATATAAAGTGTTGCAGTACATTAAGGGAACAGTCAGTCAAGGTCTATTCTATTCAGCCGATGTAGACTTATCTCTCAAAGGATTTGCTGATTCAGATTGGGCCTCTTGTCCTGATAGTAGAAGATCTACTACTGGTTTCTCAATGTTTCTCGGGTCATCACTTATCTCTTGGTGATCCAAGAAACAAAACACTATCTCACGTTCATCAGCAGAGGCAAAATACTGAGCTCTGGCTTTAGCTTCATGTGAAATGATTTGGCTCACCATTCTCCTCTGTGATCTACGAATCAAGATGCCTGTAACACCAATACTTTTCTCGGATAGCACTGCAGCTCTTCACATTGCAACAAATCCGGTTTTCCACGAAAGAACTAAACACATAGAGGTGGATTGTCACACTGTGAGAGAAAAGTTGGACAAAGGTTTGCTCAAAACACTACATGTTTCTACTGAGTATCAGGTGGCAGATATCCTCACCAAACCATTATTTCCAGCTCAGTTTGAGCATCTCAAGTCCAAGATGAGTCTACAAAACATATATGCCTCATCTTGAGAAGGCCTATTGGACTGTATATAGAGATTTTAGATCGATCGGTTTTCTTTTATCGGTTTATCTTAAATTAACTCATTAGTTGGTTTAGTTCGGTTTACTCCAATCTTAACTGTATATATGGATGTAACGAACACATTATGAAGGTTAATGAGAATTTTTCTAACAAACTCTCTGTTGACTTTATCTTCTTCTCCAAATCTCTCTCGTTATCATTCAACTAATAGTTATTATTTTTGATAGCATACAAAGTCTAATGCCCATAGGTTAATTAGAATGGGCGGACTCTGAGAGTGATCGTAAATTGAATTATGTTTCTTTGACTAATGTAAATATAACATAGCCGACAGGTTAGAGCTCTGATGCTTCCTAGTTTGGCTGATGATGTTATCAAAGTAATTTGAACTCTACATTTTTAAATTAGTAGTATGTGTTGCTACCGAATCCTTTGACTCCGGTGGTGCCTGATATTATGCATGCAAGGCTTTGTCCTCCTTCATTATATGAAAATTTATCTCTGATTCTAGTGGAGACTGGTGAGATTTGTAGAATTTTTGGCGGTGTTGGCGCTTTAAGTTTCTTTAGATTTTGAAAAAACTAATGGTCCTGAATCTGATGGAACATATGAACCTAAAAGGGCTTTTACAGTCTTGATGATGAAACATTTGATGGCTTGAAGTTATTGGCCAAGCCACTGCAATAAAACTCCAACTTTACAGCACACGTGAATCTCTCCTTATCCACAATTTCTACATATTTCTCCTGTGCCCTCCACACCCCACGCTCGCTTATCATTACGTGCATCTCACCTCCTCACTTTCTATTACTCGAGAATATTCTTTTTCAATCTTTTTCATTATCTTAAAATTTACCCCGTGAAAATGTATAAAAATTACAAACTCATTAGCATTTCCAATATATACAGCCGACAAAATAAATGAAAAAACAAATGATAAGTGCTTGGACAAAACTTTGTTTCCCGAACACAATAATAATGGAGATTTCAGTATATTCCTCTCTATAGTGAACACGACGCGCTCTGATTCGACGCGTGGGATATGTAATTGTCGGTCAACGAGAGAGCCACGTCATCTCTCACGGTGTTGTTTCTTATCATTCTATCATCCTCCAACGTCTTTTCAACACAGCAAATATCAGAGATTTATTGATAAATCACCAAACATAATAAATAAAATAAAATAAAGGAAATTGCTCATCTTCTTCTTCTTCTTCGATTCTCCTGAATCAAACTATTGGTTTCATGTCGTTCAAATCTCTGGGACGATCTTAAAAGAATCCCATTTTCCTTCGGGAATCTTACATTTTCTCAAATCGGAAAAAGTTTCCAATCCAGGGAAGAAAAAATCCATTAGAAACCGCCATGGATGTGACCTATTCTGATCTAATGGATTTCTTGAAGAAACCCTCTTTTACAGAGACATTCGTCGACATCTTACTCTGCGCAGTCCCGATTTGGCTCGCCGTGATGATTGGTCTATTGATCGGATGGTCTTGGCGTCCAAGATGGACCGGATTGATCTATCTAGGGTTCCGTTCTAAGCTTCGGTATCTATGGACTGCACCGCCTGGATTCGGCGCTCGAAGGCTCTGGCTTGCTTTCACAGCTCTCTCTGCCTTCTCCGTTTGCAGAACCATCTGGTCAAGGCTCGACAAATCGGCGAATGGTTCAGCTTCGTCGCAGACGCCTGAGGTTGTAGAAGAGAGTACTCAAATCGATGAAACAGGGTTAGTATATTACAGAACAGAATGAACATGAGCAGAGTCTCTGTTCTGTTTTTTTTTTTTTTTTTTGTGCTTTCGTCTGCGGATATTCGAGCTTTACGATTATCAATTTTGATTAAAGAAGTTTTGTGCTAACCAAAGTTTGGTTTTTTAATGATAGAAATATAGTTGTGTGTTTAAAAACGGAACCTTTACTTCCATGTTAGCTGGAAATGGTAGATTGTATGCTTATCCATCTTTTGATACTAATGAGTAAATGACATTATCAAAAAGGAATGATTGTGCGATAGCTGATTATGGTTAAAATCTGATGGAAAATGGTTAATGGATTTGCAGAGCTAGCGATAACACGACGGTGAAAAAGGAGGAAATTGTGACAGAGAATGATCTAGAGCATCTGTTAAAGCTGCTTGAAGTCGGAAATGAGGCTATGGAGTGGCAATCAATGATGAACAAGACTACTCCAAATATGAGCTACCAAGCTTGGCGCCATGAGCCTGAGGTAATCTAAATTTCATAACTCTTGCATTATCTACGTTTCCTTGATGTCTGAATCATGTAACTGAAGGAACGAGCCAAGTCATTGAGGAGTAGGCGCAAGACACTTTTGTCGATAAGTGAATTATTTAGAGTACTCAGTGGCCAGCTTTTAGATCGTTTGTTTCCATGAGATAGTTTTCTTTGCGATGGCTATGGATGATCGATTTCAGTGATCTATCTGTTGTGGTTTCTAGTAGTAGTATTCATGGTGTTTCCTTGAGTACGGTGTGATGCATTGCTTGATTTATGCCGTTGTGTGGCATTTTTTTTGACATTTTACTTGAAACTAGTTGTTGCTATATAAAACCGTGTTTTAGCCTGAAAGGTTGTGTTGTTTGTCAGACAGGTCCTGTTGTTTATCGCAGTCGAACTGTGTTTGAAGATGCAACTCCAGATATTGTTAGGGATTTCTTCTGGGATGATGAATTTCGGCCTAAATGGGATTTTATGCTTGCCAACTTCAAGACCCTAGAGGAGGACACTCAGACAGGAACAATGATTGTTCAGTGGAGAAAAAAGGTCTCTAGACTTATGATACTTTGTCCTTCTTAATAAACCACATTAAAAAAAAAAGCTATGCTCATTATTCATTTATTTTGTCTGCAGTTTCCCTTTTTCTGTAGTGACCGAGAGTATATCATTGGTCGGAGAATATGGGAGTCTGGAAACAAGTATTATTGTGTCACAAAGGTATGTTTTTGCCTTCCATGTATCCAAGTTTTAGCATTTATCTAAGTTTTAGGAAAGACCATTCTAAGTTTTAGCTTTGAGAATTTTGAATCCATAGAGAGAACTCCGGAAATGGGACCATTTGTCTATTAGTTCTCATTCCCTTAGCTCAGGACTAAGGCGCTTATCTACATTCATATTGCATGGAGCTGATAATACATTTCTAGGAGATTCATTGCATGGATAATGTAACGCTTGTTGATATTGTAGGGAATTCCTTATCCAGCTCTACCAAAGCGTGATAAGCCGAGGCGTGTTGAGCTTTACTTCTCAAGTTGGGTTATCAGAGCGGGTAAGCCTTTTAAAATACAAGTCTTTGATCCTTTTTTTGAAGCTGTGATTGTTAAGCATATACCAAAAAACTAAATGCAGTTGAGTCCCGGAAAGGAGATGGACAGCAATCGGCTTGTGAAGTATCACTAGTCCATTACGAAGACATGGGAATCCCCAAAGATGTAGCAAAGTTAGGTGTCCGTCATGGCATGTGGGGAGCTGTCAAGAAGCTAAACTCTGGTTTAAGGGCCTACCAAACCGCCAGAAAATCGGACTCGAGTCTCTCCCGGATCGCTCAAATGGCGAGAATCACGACAAAACTGAACATGGATTCTATAGAAACATCCACAGGAGATGAAGACAGAAGCAGAGCAATAGACTATGCAAGGAGACAGCGAGACAATTTGAGAATGGACTGGAAATGGTTTGTTGTAGGAGGTGTCGCATTGGCTTGTGGCCTTCACACTGGTGTCATTGGTAAGGCTTTACTGGCTGGAGCTGGCCAGAGACTTGCTCGCCGGTGAAAAACCTTTTTTCGTCGTATTCTTATTATTATTTATTATTGTCCCTTGACAGAAAAAGAGAAACATATAGATACATATAACTAAGGGAAATGTATTCTTTTTGCAACTCAGATGAGAAGGGCATGTGGTTTTGATGGTGAACCATGTAGAGTAGTATAGCTTTAAGCTATGGAGTCTTAAATTGTTCGAGTCTTATATTGTTACAGAAGAGAGTTGAGATATGTATTTTATAAGTTATATGAATCTACATAGCTCCTAAAAGCTTTAAAAAACATCTTTGCATATGACACGCTTAGTATCTCTCGTTGCGTCGACGAAAAAGGTATCTCTCTCATTCCAATGATCAACAGATAGCGAGATGTCAAAACGTATTCAGCAGATTTACAAAGTTTTTTTTTTCTTTTTGTAAAAAGAAGTAATCCAGGTTTTTACCACTTAATCCCTCTGAATGAGTGATACTATCCACTCATCAGATTTTCAAATGAGCCTAAAGCATTACTCTATTTTCGACTGGCCAAATGAGAGTAGTTAGGTCCGGGCTTGACCAAAAGAGCAACTCCTCTATAAAAGCTCACCACTACTATGTGTTTTGGAGGATGCAAAATCCTGTCGAATTTTCCTAAATTTTAAAAAGAAGTACATAAACTCAAATTACTAAAAATAAAAAACTAAATGATCCAACTTTCAATAAACCATAGATTCTACAAATAGAAAAAAAGTACTATAGGGAAGAACGAGGAGTGAGAACATGGTTTCATGCCTCAATTTTGCATTAGATTGTTGAAATTTCAAAAAACAGGTTTATCTAATTTGCCAGTTCTGTCTGGTTCATGGTTTTTGGCTGGTTTTTAAGACGGTTTGACACACCTGCCGGTTGGGTCCGGTTTTCAAACATTGAAAAGAATAAAGAAAAATTATCTCTTTGTATATCACAACCTAAATGTACATGTAATCAAAATTAGTATTGCTTTGATCTTAGTGAGGTTGCACACTCTGTCAAACAGATCAAGGAAATCAAGAGGGCTTTCAAGCAAACAAGACATACCCTCCAAGTTTTAATCAGAATCAAGGTCAGCAGGATTCATCTCAACAACAAGATTTTGATTTGAATGGAGTTCTACAACAGCTTCTCAAGGGTCAGCAAAAGACACAACAAAGAGTGGAGTACTCTTTTAATGACCTCAACTCCAAAATTGAGACATTACAGAGTAAGATGAAGGCTTTTGAAAGCAAGGAAGCATCATCATCAAGGCTGCATGGTTCTTTGCCATGAAAGCCAGAACAAAACCCCAAAGAGTTTTATAATGCCATAACACTGAAGAGTGGCAGGGAACTTTCTACAAGAGAACAACCTCCATTGCTCATTGAAGACAATGAGCAATTTGGTGGGAAGGTGCTTGTTGAGAATAGTCAAGATGATGAGGTTGTTGAGCTAGAAGTGAGTAAGAAGGACAAAGGTAAAGGTCTTGAGCAAGACAAGGTGCATGAGAAGCCATCAGAGAAGACTAAACCCTTTTTGCCACCACCTTATCAACCAAGGCTGCCTTTCACTAGAAAATTCAAGAAACAGTTGCTGGAGAAGTATATAGCTTTAATTGATAAGCAGATGGAGAAAGTTGAGATTACCATGCCATTGATAGAAGATTTCCTTTTAGTTCCTCAATATACAAAGTTCCTCAAGGATGCTATAGTGGAAAAGTTAAAAAAGCTTCAAGGTATAGTGGTATTGACTTATGAATGCAGTGCCATCCTTTATAGGAGATCAGTTCCAAAAAAGTTATCTGATCCAGTGAATTTTACATTGCCATGTAGTTTGGGTCCTTTGAAGTTTAACATTCAGTAAGTCTCATGCCATTCTCTATTGCAAGAAAGCTGGATTTTACTGTGTTCAAACCTTGTAGAATCTCCTTGGTGTTAGCTGACAGATCAGTGAGGCTTCCAGTTGGTTTACTAGAGGATTTGCCTGTCAAAATTGGTGATTTTGAAGTCTCCACTGATTTTATAGTCCTTCAAATGGATGATGAGCCTAATAATCCATTAATTCTAGGGAAATCATTCTTAGCAACAAATGGAGCCATAATAGATGTCAGGAATGGGAAGATTGACCTTCATTTGGGATCAGAGGTATTGAAGTTTGATATCAATGAGGTGATGAAGAAACTTACCATTAAAGGACAAGTCTTTTACATTGAGACTGTGGATCAGTTAGCTGATGAATTGCTAGAGGAGCTGCTCTAGATGATCACCTTCAAGTTGCTTTGACAAAAGAACCTGGAGAACATGGGTATATTCAAGATGAAATTTTTGGGTATATGAAGCTGTTGGACTCACACAGAGCAGTGCAGAGAGATGGTAACTACTTGGAGTTGGACTACAAGGACTCAGGGTCAAGTTCAAGGAGTTTCAAGGGAAACAATCAGGAGTTAAGGCCGGTTTACACCATTTCTTCAATGGGAACCGTGGATCAAGCCAGTTCTGGACAAGATCTGGTCGGTGTGGAGTCAGAAAATGACGTGGAGGAGATACACAAGGAGCCTGATCATGGAAATAACACCAAGGAAGCCAACATGGACCAAACAAGCTAAGCTTCAATAAAGATCTGAGTGAACTTAAAGCTCCAAAGGTGCAACTAAAACCTCTCCCCAGTGGTTTAATGTATGCTTTCTTAGGTCCCAATGACTGTTAATGAAAACCTGCTTGAATATGAAAAACATGCATTTGCTAAATGAACTAAGAAAGTTTAGAAAAGCAATAGCTTACTCACTTGATGATATAAAAAGGATCTCATCTTCACTTTGCAGTCACAGAATCCACCTTGAAAATGAATCAATGAGTTCTATAGAACATTAGAGGAGGTTAAACCCAAACCTCAAAGATGTTGTAAAGGAGATTCTGAAATTGTTGGAGGCATGGATAATTTATCTTATTTCTGATTCCAAATAATTTCACATGTGCATATAGTGCCCTAGAAAGATGGAATGACTGTTATCAGAAATGAAAAAGATAAACTGATCCCTACAAGAACTATAACAGGTCATATGATGTGCATAGATTACAGAATACTCTATGTAAAAAAAAAAAAATTACAGAATGCTCAATGTTGCATCTAGGAAAGATCACTTTCCACTGCATCTAGGAAACCATTCATTTTACTGTTTTCTTGATGGTTATTATGGCTTTTTCCAAATATCGATTCACCCAAATGATAATGAAAAATGGTACATTCACTTGTCCATATGGTACTTTTACTTATAGAAGGATGTCTTTTGGGCTTTGCAATGCACCAGCTACATTCAAAAGATACATGATGTCAATCTTTTCTAACTTGGTTGAGGAGATGGTAGAAGTGTTCATGGACGATTTGTATTTGTGGCTCTTCTTTCTCTTCTTGTTTGTCTAATTTGTGCAATGTATTGCAAAGATTTTAAACCTCTAATTTCAAGTTTTGCCCAAAAAAGGCACCAATTGTAAAAAAAAAATCCCCCTAGATAGGCACTATTGACTTCTAGAGAAAATGTCGACACCTCCCACGTAATCTTCTAAATTCTTTGATTTAAAATAACCCCATCAATAATATGAATGATGAATGTATCCTTTTTTTTTCAGTTCTATTTCAATCTTGGGATAATTTGGACTATCTTAATGAAAAAAACACCACAAGATCAAAAGTTTATTCATTTGTTCTGTCTATTCTTTTTAAAATATGATATACTTACGATATGCATGATTTTCATGTCTTAAGGGAAGTTGTAGATGACTTGATAGTTTAAGTTAGACATCAGAGATGCTTGAGTGTGGATCAATACAAACCATATCAGATATGCTAGAAATAAGTCATGGGAGGGATGGAGAGGGAAATGGAGAGGTTGAAGTCAATTCTTGTTAAATTAGACAAAGAAACCAGATTGTGTGATGGTTTTGTGCAGTTTGGCCATACTGAGGCTCGGGAAAAGGTTTTTAAATTTCTCTTGTGGCAAGAAAAGCTCCAAATAATGTATTTTTAATTTTCTTCAATATTTTTTTGGATGTTTTGGACAATTATCTACCACAAACAAAGTTTCTTACCATCCATTCTCTTATCATACTATCATATATATTCTTTAAATATCACACTTGTCATCCAAACTCTTTTGCTGGCACAGTAGTGACAATTCAAACAATGTGACTTTGCAGATTTTTGTGTGAGCCAAAACTCGCACAACCAGAAATTTGTTAAGGAAAACTTTGAGGGATCGGAAACTTCTAGGGTTTATCGCCAAAAACAGTAAGATCGAAGAAAGTTTTTATTGTTGTGAAGTGTTTAGGTTTTATTGCTCTCGAGTTGTCAAAGTTACAGAATGAATTGTATACATCGTCTATTTATACTAATTCTCTGAACCGCCTAGCCGAATCTCGGGAGAGATTTTCGGAATATTTCCTTATCGCCTCGTGCGGCTCACCGCCTTTGTATTTCGCCTAGGGTTTCTATGGGCTTCGTCTCTCAAGGCCTTGGTTCGGCCCATCTGAACTTCTCCACGGCTCGGCCTGCTTGCCATTTGAGTCGAGACGTGATTTGGTCCACCTCACCGAGGCGCGGCTCGGCCCAAGCATGTTGAAGTGCGGCTCGGCCCATTTCTCATGATACGGCTCGGCCCATCTATCTTTCTTCACGGCTCTCCCCATTGGTCTATCTTCACGGCTCTCCCACTTGGTGACCACGGCTCTCCCACTTGTCTTGGTGACCACGGCTCTCCCACTTGTCCTGGTGAGCACGGCTCTCCCACTTGTCTTGGTGAGCACAGCTCGGCTAATTTGTCTTCCTTCCATACTTAGTCATTTTGAGATGGTCTTATCCGCTTGGGGTGAAACCCGACCCCAATAGTTAGCCCCCCAGCTCGTCAGTTTCGGAGGCGAGAATGACGAGGTCCATTACTCCTGACTGTAGGATAAACCATCGAGTCAAGCTGTTTCGACTTAAGCCTAGGCGAGGTGTTTCGGGAATATAGATGTCGAGGCGTTCCCAAAAGATGCCGAGGATGCCGAGGCGTTTCAAGAGGGTGCTGAGGACGCCGAGGTGTTTAAGGGCGAGGCGATTAGTATTGGCGAGCCGTGACGAGGCGATTTAAGAAGGTTATGCCGAGCCGAATAAATGGCGAGGCAGTTCGAGAGAAAGTTGGTGCCGAGCCGTTTCATTAACGACGAGGCGTTTCAAGAGAGAGCTAATGCCGAGCCGTTTTGTTAACGACGAGGCGTTTCAAGAGAGAGTTAGTGCCAAGCCGTTTCGTTAACGACGAGGCGTTTCAAGAGAGAGCTAATGCCAAGCCGTTTTGTTAACGACGAGGCGTTTCAAGAGAGAGCTAGTGCCGAGCCGTTTCGTTAACGACGAGGCGTTTCAAGAGAGAGCTAATGCCGAGCCGTTTTGTTAACGACGAGGCATTTCAAGAGAGAGTTAATGCCGAGCCGTTTTGTTAACAACGAGGCGTTTCAAGAGAGAGTTAGTGCCGAGCCGTTTCGTTAACGACGAGGCGTTACTAAGGTAAGATGTCGGCTGAAAGCTCGGGTATCCCAACCGTTGGTCTTCCGAAAGAAAATTCCTGATCTATTGGCGCATGCATCCGACGCAGTTCGAGCCAGCTAATTCACCGCGGATCCCACGCGCTGTTGGACGGTTTCCCGAGGTTCACACGGAATTCACGCGCTTCGGTTTTCCTATAAATAGGCGAGCTCCTTCATTCTTCCTCATTATCTTCAGACTCACTCGTTTTCACTAAAGGTAGCTCTCTCTTCTCTCTTTTTTCTCTCTCTAGTTTATTTATTTTTAGGAGTTCTGAGGTCTCCGCCGTTCCAGATCTTTTTCCGGCGGAGGTTCGCCGAGTCGTGCTGTAATTCCTGTATAAGTTGTAAATTATGTCGAGCCGCTCCGACGATTCGCTGGATTCACTCTTTCATTACGAGCCGAGCCGCGTAGATGTCGAGGCGAGATGTACAGCAGAGTCCTCCGAGGTGTCTGTTTCACCGACCCCTTCCAATCGTTCATCTGACGAGGCGTCAAATCATGCAAATCCGTCAGATGTCGGCTCTCCAGATGACGAGCCGTCGGTTTCGACGAGCCGTCCCCAGGATCCCGTTTCTGATGAAGATATTGATCGCGCCGCACTCAAAGCCGAGGAGGAGGCATTTCCCTTTGACCTATTCGAGGTGAAGCGTGAGTTGGAACGTCTCATAGCGTCCCGAGGCGCTTCCACATCTGGGCGAGGGCCACGAGTTAAAAGACAAAAGCCTGAACCGCCTGGCTCTACGCTTTGCTCCCTTGAATCGCTCGAGGCGTTGAGGCATCGCTTCCGGATATCCGAGGCGGTGGAGTTTGTCGTTCCAGAGAAGAGCGACCAAGCCGACAAGCCTCCAGAGAATCACTTCACTCTGTACGAGGCGTTCTTTGAGCTTTGCTTTCTCTGGTTCCCGATCCCCAGAGTGATCCTCGAATATCTCTAGAAACACGGGATCTCGATTGGGCAACTCATGCCGAGGGGATTACGGCATATGATTGGCATCTTAGTCTGAAGCTTTGAATGCGGGCTTGATATCGAGCTGAATCACCTGCTGAACTTGCTGGAAATCAGGAAAGCTCTGAAAGGAAATAAATTCTATATTTCCAACAAGGCGAAGCGACGGATCATAGGCGGTTTTCCCAGCAAGGATCAGTTTTGGACTCAACGCTTCTTCTACGTCTTGGTGAACGAGGCGTCGGTCGGCGAGGATTACGTTCAAAGAACCAAGACCGCTTGGGGACGACTTGGTAGCCGACCCGAAGCTTTGCCTCGGCTCGGAACTGTTTTTTGGTATCCTCTTCCCTTACTGAATTTTTCCTTTCTTTTTTGCTTTGTTTTGCAGTTCGGAGCTTTCTTTCCCCGATTCCCGACGACCTCTTTACTGTTCGAGACTCTCTTTCGGCGCGGAAGGTTAGCTGGAGGAAGAATCTTACCCTCAAAAGAGTAGAAGAAGCACGAGCCATCCTTGCCAGAGTCCCCGTCAGCTCTTCGTCCTCCAGTTCTTTAAGAGATACCCGAGAGAAGATGGTGATAATCACTCTCAGAGACAGGAAGAGGCGCGAGGAAGAAGAGGCCACGAGACGAGCCGCCGAGGCGGCTCAAACGCAGACCGAGGCCGTCCCCCTGTCTGATCAGCCGAGCCGAGAAGAAGGTGAAACGGTCCGAGTCGCGGATGCAATCGTTACCGAGGCGGGCGAAGGAGGAGCAGCG